GTCTGTGAACAAGATTAAACCACACAGCTGCCCTGATGTCCAGCCTGTGCCTCTCCCTGGCAGAGGCAGTTCCATTGAGGACACAACAAGCACCTGTGCCCCCTGTCACACACAGCACCTGTCCTGCCCCACCCTGCCCAGCACAGAGCCGTGGCACTGCAGGGGCACAGACTGCCCAGCCCAACGCATGGCAGACTTGGTACCAGCCACCAACCCCTCCGGGCACACAGGGACGTCCTTACCAGGGGTGTATCTGGCATCAGAATTTCCCCATCCTCCACCCAGACGAAGGGAGTTGTCCCAAGTGGACAGGGGTGGTTTCTGGCCTGTCAGCCCTGGAGGTGGCCGGGACGGAGCAGTGATGCTTTTAGGTGGCAAAGGGACCTTCCACAGCTCATGAGCCAGAGAGGTGTTAGTGACTGATCCAGGAGACCACGTTGATTTGGAATCACTGTTTCTGGCTACTAAAAGACACAAACGACAGCCACAATCACTGTTGCTGCAGCCATCACCTTGCTGCAAAGAAAAGCTGCTAAATTAGGGTAAAATCAAAACTGCTGCTTTGAAATCAGTGAAGTTACCACGCTGATGAGACCCCAGCATCACTTTTATTGACATCTAGGGTCCCCCTGGAGCATGTAAAGGGAAAGGAACCACAACAGGACAAGCAGACATCACCTGAAGTGCTTTGTGCTGTACTGCTGAGGGAAACATTGTAGTTGGAGGCACGAATGGATGACCAGGCACTAGTTGAAGGCAGCGTGGTGTTCAAAGATGAGGATGACCCTGCAGCAAAGAGAAGAGTCAGACACGGCACAGCAGGCCACAAACGCAGCAGGATGAACTGTGCTTGTGCACACTCAGGGCAGGGACGTGCACCCTCAGCCCACGGCACGTGGTGGCAGCAGGAGAGCACAGCCCTGCGTTCCTGCAGGCCGGGCTGCCCAGGCTCTGCTGCTCCCACAGCCCTGGGCGTGCACAGCCGGCAGCAGCAGCGCAGCCCACACCCCTGGGACAGCCCCTGCGCTGCATCAGCTCCGGGCTGGGCCACGGAGGGGCTGCAGCCTGACAGGCACAGCACAGGGACAGACCAGGAGGGGAGCAAGGAGGAAACACAAGGGACAAACCAGGAGAGGAGCAAGCAGCAAACGCACCCCAAACCCACAGCACAAGGGCAGCAAGGGGCAGACACAGGGAACAACCAGGAGAGGAGCAAGGAGGAAAAACAAGGGATAAACCAGGAGAGGAGCAAGGAGGAAACACATCCCAAACCCACAGCAGACGGAAGAGCCACGAGGGCAGCAAGAAACAAACACAGGGGAGCAACCAGGAGAGGAACAAGCAGCAAACACACCCCAGAGCACAAGGGAGAGCCATGAGGGCAGCAAGGAGCAAACACAGGGGAACAACTACGAGAAGAGCAAGGAGGAAACACAAGGGACAAACCAGGAGGGGAGCAAGCAGCAAACATCACGACAGCAGAGGGAAGGCTGCACACATTCCCCAGCAGGCTGAGCATACCACTGTTCCTGTCCCTGAGGTGGTCAACTTCCCGCACAGTATTAATTGAGAGATTGTTTATGACACTGCCAGGAGTGACGTAAGGGTCAGTTTCGGGGTCGATGTTTGGATAACCTTTCCATGGCTCACCAGGGCGAAACTCTAGGAATACAGATGCAGGAAAGAAGCTTATTTTCACCGTATTTTTAAAAAGGAAACAGCTGTCTAAACAATACACCTCCTAATGACTGAAAATCCAAAACCCTTTAAGCATTTAATTTCCTTGATTTAGCCATCACTGTACTAATTTGATTTCTCTGGCAGACACACTTCTCTCTGCACAGTAAAGCTGCCGTTCTCCATTTCCATTGCTGAGAACACCCCTGGTGCCCCCCTGCACTGGCTGCTGCCCCGGGGGGAGGTGCCCGGGCTCGGAGGGAGGGCAGGGCTGTACCTGGGGGCCAATTAACACTGCTAGAGCCATTAGGCGATTTGGCACGGGGCCAGCCGTCCCCAATGGAGCCGGGAGGACTGGCTGGGGAGTTACTGCTGTTCAGGAAGTCGTAAGGAACAAACGGAGAATCTTCCAGCCTAAAACCACTTGAAATAGCACCTGATGGGAAAAAAAAAAAAAAGAAAAAAAAAAAAAGCAGTCAAATATTTTTCGTGGCTGGTTTTTATATCCCTATATAAATACATATAAAATCGTGCCCTTGTAAATCATTCATGAAATATAGAGCAGCACACTGTCCTCCTGTGATGCCAGGTTATACTGGAGATCATACAGGAGTGATGAATCAAAATGAAATATGTCTGAGTAATGCAGAGAAAACTGTAAGAAGAATCCCCCATGAAACCCCTTCACTAAAACAGTACATATATTCAAAGAAACGTGTTCAACTCAAGTAAAGCATTAATTCCAGAGGTAAGATCATTCTGAGGGACCCCATTTGACTAACAGGGTTCTGTGGTGAGAGAGCTCGTGAAAGAAACAGTTACA